CTTATAAAGCCGTCATACCTGTAGAATTTTCATTTTGTGTGTTTTATTCCTCGGGTAAATAAAAAAAAATAAAATAAGAAAAATCTAGTTATTTCTAAACAGTGTCCAGAAAAAGGTGTTGTTCTGCTTGATGCCTAACACAGCTTCGGTCAGCATCCAGCATTATTCATGAGCTTTTTTAGGACATATTCCGTGCAGTTTTCTAAAGAAGTATTAAAATATTAAAAAGGTAGATTAGCTACAGGGACAAAATATCCCATGGGAGACTAAATTTGAAGTCAAACAGTATTTGTAGTAATAGTGACGCTAAACGGGACTAATGTCTTGTTTACAGTATGGTAACGAAACTGGAAACAGCAAAAGCCATTTATGTTAATATGTTTGATTAACATAGCAGCTTAATTAAATAAAATTTACTGTAAACTTCTGAGAAATAAAACACACAAAATGAAACTTCTACAGGTATGACGGATTTATAAGAAATCTACTGAGTAAGCGGTATGTGACGTAACATCGATGTGCGCATTACCACAAGGTATGCTGGATTTACAGGTATGACAGATAGTCAGAACACCGGCTGTACGCTGCGGCACCGGCACCCATTCTTCTAGCGCTGCCCTGGGATTAGCGCTCGCTGCCCAGACTGACTCTCAAAACTGGGCTACTCACTGGCTTTGAGTAAGCCGACGAATGACTAAGGATTCTTTTAGTTATTGGGTAACATATCAATTATGCAGAATGCATTTACTCTTTGTACAGTTTTGGCTTACTTACTGCTCTGAATATGTTGTTCTTTAAGCAAATGGCCTAATTTTGAGTCTATATGCTCCAGTTAACGATTAATCGATTACTATATTAGTTGACGATTATTTTATAATCAATTACTCTGATTAACCTTCTCAGCCCGTCTGTGCACAACTCTTACCCAGTTCTGTATTTGTTCTCATGAGCGTGTACCTGGTTTTTGGTTTGAGGTGCTTTCTCCCGGTTGCTTGTCTGAAGTGGAGTTTCAGTTGCCACAGGACCAATAGGAGTCGGCTAAACACAGAGAGCAGGAGGGAAAAATCACTGTTACTGTGTAACTTCAGCTGACAACATGATTATTTTTGTGTAAACAGAGGGGAGCTGCAGTGATAAAGCTGCTGTCACAGGTTTGAGTCCCGCATGCTTTCCCCTCTCCCATTGCCCACTTTCCTGTCTGATCACTCTTATATAAAGGTCACTAGAGCCAAAACGAAATCTTAAAAAAAAAAAAAAAACTAACACAGGCCTACATATCACTACAGGTATTTTCTGTTAGCTAGAACAAACGAACAGTGAATATTGTTTATTCTGATTTCACACACTGCCAAAAGCTTGGGCCAATCCAGCTCTAAGAAGCTTTCCAGGAACACAGAACTACTTCCAAAGGCAAAGAAGAAGAAGATTCCAAAAGCTGAATGTTAATCAAAAAGTGCTGAGGCATGTTTATCAGGCTGATGAGGACGAGTCAGGTTTATGCAGGGCTGAGCAATATGGTTTACAAATAAAAAATCTGTAATTTATTCATGCCAGTGCAGATTTAATCAATGTTTTTCTTGCTTTCTTTTCTAATAACAATAAATTATAAATGAGAAAAACTATTTTCAAAAAGGGGCTTTTATTTCAACTATGGCTTCTGTGAGTTGTACGACACAGTACTGAGGCCAGGTCAAGAACTTTTGTTTAATTACAAGAATATAGTCATAATATTAGCAGAATAAAGACACACTTTTACCAGGAAAACATCTTAAAATTACGAGAAAAGACTTGTGGGCTGTTCCTCAAACATATGAAGTCACAGGTAGTGACAGCATTGCTCCTACCTGGTAGCCCTGTACCTTCACACTTTCATATTCCTGACAGACTGCTGTCCAGATGGTGCAATATATACTGCTCAAAAAAATAAAGGGAACATTTCACTTTAATTTTGTGTTGTTTTGTTACGTTTG